GAAGTTGTCAAAGAGCTGTTTTAAGGCAAACGTGAACAGAACCTTGATCCTGAAGTATCTAGGACGAGCCAAACCTTATGAATCCAGCACATGTGGAAGGAAAAAGACACGGCTGAATTGGGGCAGTTTCAAAAATAAAAATCAACGTTGCAGGGAACCTGACAACATAGGATAAATTTAGTTATTACCGCAAGTCAGACCCAGAGACTTCAGTGCTAGCAAAGACTGCATTAGAGCGTACAGGCTCGCCTCATACCATAAACTACAAATACCGGAGGACGTCGCAGCGCGCGCTCAGCGATGAGGCGCCCGAAGGCCGCGGGGACCACCAGGAGTTGTAGTCTTCGGAGGGAATCCGCGCCAGAGAGCTTACTTGAGTGATCTCATTGTCAGTTTCGGCGCCTCCGCTTCGGTCTGGGAAGAAAGTGCCAAGGCGAGGTATGGCGGTCTCGGTGCGTACGGGGAGCTTCTCGTGAGACATAAGGATGTCGTCCAGGGAAAGAAAGTTCTCCTCAGGCCCCAGCGCACCCGACTCCACCGGAAAATAAGCTTCGAACATGGCGGCGGCTTGGATTTCGTAGTTTTCACTCGCGGTACTCGGAAATCTAAGGGGTCGGGGTGTAAATGGAGGAAGAGGGTGGTCAGGATTGTTAGGGTCCTGGAGGTTGCCCCAGCCGCCGGGCTGGATTGAAATTGCTATTTCCCGCGCCCGGGGAAGACCCAGACCGGAGCAATCGATCCAGGCTTGTCTGCCTCCGGGAGCTCACTGCCCAGGCAAAAGCAATCGATAAAGTCTGGGGTCTGACTCGATCCAGCGCGACCTGGCGGGGGCGGCTAGTAGGGGAAGTTTTCTTCTCAGTGTAAACGTGAGAGTGTTAAATGTTGTTAGGTGGGGTCAAGTCGGTTCTGAGTCAGCGACCTCTGCACAACAGAACGAAACACTGCCTGGCCCTGCTCCATCCTTGACAATCTTTGCTATGCTTAAGCCCATCGTTGCAACCACTGTGTCAGTCCATCTTGTTGAGGGTCTTCCTCTTTTTCGGGGACCCTCTACTTTACCACACTGATCATTGATTGCAAGCCACCCTGCAGATGGGCTGCCTCTGTCATGTGCCATCACTGGCTTAATGGAGTGGAGGGGATGCAGGTAGGGAAGGAATCATTGTCACATGATTCCAGGCTTGGGGATCCTACTCAGCCAAGGATGTGGTAGTGGCAGATGGTTAAGAGATGCACTGCCACTGGTTACCATCTAGTCAACTCCAACTCATGGTGACCCCATAGGTGTCACAGAACTACACTCCATAGGGTTTTCAGTGGCTCATTTTTTGGAAGTAGATCACCAGGCCTTTCTTCCAAGGTACCTCTGGATGGAATCAAGCCTCCAGCTGTAGGTTAGCAGCTGAATGTGTTAACCATTTGCACCCCTCAGGGACTCCAAAGATGTGCACTACAGAACTTATTTTATATGGAAGGGTATTTTCTGGGGCTCTGGTGGCATAGTGCCCAAGACATTTGATTGATAAGCAGACGGTTAGCAGTTCAAACCCACTAGCCACTCCACGGAAGGAAGACTGGGCAATCTACTTCCTGTAAAGATTTACTGCCTCAGAAACCTAAAGGGGGTCACTGAGTCAGAATCAACTTGATGACAGTGAGTTTGTTTTTTTTCTGGTAGAACTAGGACTCATGAGAAGGGAAGTGGAGTTGGGGAGTTAGGACCAAATGGTACAAAGTTTTGGGTACTATTCCAAGAAATTTAGGCTATTCTATGGAAAATGGAAGGAAAGTTATAAATTTTTTTAGCAGGTATGTGGCATGACCAAAGCTGAGCTTTAAGAAGAGAATTCTGGTGGTGAGGTGAAGAAGACACGTTAGATGTGGCAAAGCCAGTTTGGAAGCTGGTCAGTGGTGTTACTTAGCCACTACTTAACCTATAGTAAGTGAAGGATAGAGAGGATCAGAGACAATCCAACCTTGAACCTGGTTGACCAGGTAGACAGAGATGTCACTGATGGAGAAACAAAGCACAGGAATAAAGGCAGTTTGAGGCAAAGGGTGAGTTCAATTTGGGACACATTGGAGTCCAGGGGCAGCTAGACAGGCAGGTCAGGGCAGAGATCAGCTTGGAAACTTTAGCATCGGGAGGTACATATTCTGAGGTAGTTACATGAGAGTTTTTTCCTTTATCATATTTTATGTTTTCAGCTTGCTACGCCATCCAGTTCAAAAGTAAACATAATTCATAGTCATAATTTAGAATTTCTCTGATAAAATGGATGTATGGTACTAGATGGGTGTGCTGGTGGCATAGTGCCTAAGACATTTGACTGTTAACCAAAAGGCTGGCAGTTCAAACCCACCAGCCACTCCTTGGAAGGAAGATCAGGCAATCTACTTCGGTAGAGATACTGCCTCAGAAACCCAAGGAGGGGTCACTATGAGTCAGAACCAACTCGACAGCAGTGAGTTTGGGTTTTTTTTGGTGGATTTAGTTGGATAAAAATGCAAGCTAATTTTTCTAATTAAGGGTAGTGCAGATTCTTTACTGACAAGGACATTCAGTGTTTTTTTATGTTGCGACACTTAAGATAGATGCTTAATGATGTATTGATGCCAAGAAAGGCATTATTTTTTTAGAGATGAGAATATTGGCTCTAAACTCAAATACCACAGTTATTTTAATGCTAAAGCAACAGGCCAGTGTTTAAATTAAATCGGATTATTTTTCTTAATGTCTTGGCTCATCATGAAACTATCATTTTATTGATTTTGTGATGTTTCTTTATTTAATCTTTCCTCTTCTTAAACAAATATATGAACAAGCAGAAAAAAATGAAATGAGTAAAAGTTTGAGTTTATGATGCTACATGATTACATTCATTTATTTGACAAAAGTGATACACGGCTTACCAAGTATAGGTCTGTTTTTAGCTTAACTTGAGTGCTTTTTCCTGAATCTGAAATCTATGTACCAGATTTCAGTATATTTACGATATATGGAATATATTGAGTATATTTACAATATACAGAATTTCTGTATTATAAAAGGTGTCTGCCACACATCCCTGGAAAATGAGTGATTTTCCCAATGTAATTATTTCAAGCTTGTGGAATCTTAGGACCGTGGTAGCACACAAACTTTGGATAAACATCATAACAACAGCTTTAAATCTCTTCTTTGGAAAGCTGAAAAACCAAACTCAATGCCATTGAGTTGATTCCAACTTATAGGGAGCCCCATTGGGTTCCCAAGGCTGTAAATTTTTACAGAAGCAGACTGCCTCATCTTTCTTCCACAGATTGGCTGGTGGGTTTGAACTGCCAACCAATAAACCAGTTGGCCAAATGCCTTAACCTCTACACCACCAGAGCTCCTCTTCGGAAAGCAGTGCTTTCTCAGTTCCTTCCACTGAGTGCAGAAGCTGAAATGCAAATGAAAGAAGCCCAAATCAAACTGACTTAAGGGGAGGGGCATGGGCTCCATCTTCCAGTTGCTCAGTTTTGAGGTTTTCCTTGATCTCCCTTTTCTGCCACATAGCTGGTACATCAGCAAGTGTTGGGTCTAGTGTCATAGTTTTTCAGAATCTGACCATTTCTTGCTACTCTGATCCAAACCACCATCGTCTCTTGCTTGGATTTTTGCAGTAGCTTCCTATGTGGTCTTTTTGCTTCTGCCCCTGCCTTCTTCAGCCTTTAGTCTTTCTTAACAGCCAGGAGTGATCTTTTTAAAATGTAGCAGATCATGCCATTTCTGTGCTTAAGATTCTCCAGGGGCTCTGATCTCATTCAGAATAAAAGTCAGTGTCTTTTACGCACTTAGAAAGCCCTACATGAGCTTGTCTGGCCCTGTTACTTCTCTGACATCTCCTTCTACCCAGCAACCCCCTCTCCTTCGATTCCTCCTTATTGTTCCTTAAAGACCCCAAGCACACTCCCTCAGGGCTTTGCACTGTCTGTTCCCACTTGGATATCTGTATGGCTGGTTCCCTTCAGGTCTTCACTCAAAAGTCATCTTCCCATTGAGGTTTTCCCGGCCACCCTATGTAAAATTCAACCCTCCCTCACTGACACTTTAGCCTCTGCTTTATCCCTTAGCATTGATCACTCTCTAATGTACTAAATAAGGAGCTCTGGTGGCATAGTGCCTAAGGCATCTGACTGCTAACCAGAAGGTTGGTGGTTCAAACCCCCTAGCCACTCCGCAGAAGGAAGACTGAGCAATTTACTTCAGTAAAGATTTATCACCTTGGAAACCCAACAGGGGTCTCTGTGAGTCAGAATCAACTGGGTGGCAGTGGGCTTTTTTCTTTTTTTTTGGAATGTGCTATATATTTTACTTATTTATTGTGTTCATTGTCTGCCACTCCTACTAGAATATTAGCTCCATGAGGGCAGGGATTCTTTTTAGCCTGTTATTTTTCACTATCATATCCCCACTGCCCAGTGCTTGTTAAATAAACCGAAACCAGCTGCCATCAAGTCAGTTCTGACTGCTGGTGACCCCTTGTGTTACAGAGTAGTACTGCTGCACAGGATTTTCCAGGCTGTGACCTTTCAGAAGCAGACCTTCAGGCTTGTCTTCTGAGGGGCCTCTGAATGAGTCTGAACCACCAACCTTTTGGTTAGAAGTTGAGCCCTTAACCATTGTTCCACCAGGGATATTAGGGACTGCAAAAAGGGCATGAGGGCAGCACCCTCTGCTAACGTCACCAGAGGGAAACAGAATCACCATCAGTAGCCCAAGGCTGATTCCTATGAGGTGGATGTCAGATATGCCACCACCCTCCAACCTTTTTGCCAGTTCTGACACCACACATCCCTCCCATGGTACTCTCTACTCTGCCGGGTTCAGTAATTCATTGCAGTAACCACACAGAACTCACAGACAATATTCATGATTATGGGATTTATTATCGAAGTAACAGGTTACAGTTCAAGCTCAGAAATGCTCAGAATGCCATTCTGTGATCAGGACAGCCTCCCCCCTCTGCCATGCCCAGAGGCACATCTCTCTTTGGTCCCTGACCTGTTGGCCTGGCCTCCACCCTGTTCTGGCAAGTGTTGCAAAGCTCTTTTAGCTCTACCTCAGTCCACCGGCAAGCCTCCTGCCTGAAGGCACTCAGCTTTCTCACTCCCTGGGCCGGCAAGCCTGCCATTCTGTCTTGGGCCGGTCTCTTGGCCCTACTGCCACAGTGTCTCTGCCATTGTCTAAGCACAAGGATCTTGAGTTCAAGAACACACTCCACTTCTGGTTCTTTCTTGATGGCAGAGAGATCTCCCCCTTCTGCCTCATCTCAGGGCTTATTGTAAGCCTAGTAGAATGACAAGGAGCTCTGGTAGCCTAGTGGCTAAGGCACTTGACTGCTAACCAGAAGGCTGGCGGTTCAAACTCACCAGCCACTCCTCAGAAGGAAGGCTGGGCAATCTACTTTTGTAGTGATGCTGCCTCGGAAACCCAAGGAGGGGTCACTATGAGTTGGGTCCAACTCAAGGGCACATAACAACAACAACAACAACAAGTGGAATGACAAAACTGACCAACCCCACATTAGGATA